CTCCTTTATAGACTTCAACTGAGAACTACAGTGAAACAGGCAAGCTCATGGAAGCCCCAAACCCAAATTCCCCAGCCAATTTCCTCTCAGGGCTTTATTTTCCCAGGAACTTTCCATTATCACGATGAACAGGGGGATGATGAATAGGAAACAAGGTCTCCTCAAAGTCCTTACCCTAGAAACTAGCAATCTCCCCCACGATTTTTCTCCTTCCATACATTCCACTCTTTCTGTACAATGTATTACAGAACTATAAGCCAGTCTTTTTAACTTCAGTTATATTCATTAAATGTCTATAATATGTCTGGATCTGTGATACTGACCATAAAACTCTTTATTTAATTAATAGCCCTTTTCTGGTAAAATTTAGGATTTACAGAAGAATTACGATAGTACTGAGTTCCTATATATACCACTCCGAATCCCCCGCTGCACACTTAATTTCCCCTATTATTAATACCATATATTAGTATAGTACATTTGTTATAAGCAATTAATACATCAATAATGGTTCATTAAAGTCCATAGTTTATTCAGATTTCCTTAGTTTTTATCTAATGTCCTTTTTCTACTCTAGGATCTCATCTAGAAAACCACCATTACATTATATTTAGCTATCATGTCTCCTTGGGTTCCTCTTTGCTGTGAGTTTCTCAGACTTTCCTTATTTTTGTTGGCCTTGACAGTTTCAGGAGTACTGGTCAGATATTTTTTGAAGATCTTTCAATTTGGTTTTGCCTGTTTTACTGAGTCATAGATTATGAGTGTTTGGGAGAAAGATCACAGAAATAAAGTGCCATTCTTGCCACATCACACAAGAGTATACACTATCAACATGACTAATCACTGAAGATGTTAACCTTGATCACCTGGCTGAGGTAGTGTTTGTCAGGTTTCTCCACTATCAAGTAGCTCTTCTCCTACCCCCTTTGTATACTGTACTCTTTGACAGGAAATCATAACTATCTGCAGCCTGCACATAAGAAATTGAATAGCTAAGCCCTACCAAAACTTTTTCACTTACTTCTTAATATACTAATCCTCTCAATGAGCCTATACAGATAAAACAAACAACCAAGAATGAACTTATTTAAAGCTACAGAACTAAAAAGTGCAAGGGTTAGGAATCAAACCAAAGCTAACTTGAGTCCTAGCTTAGTGCTCTTTTTCATTGTAACACAATTTCAAGAGCACAAATTATAAAGTAATATGTAAATTTCAAACACCACATTATTCAACCACTAGTCTCTTCCATATACTTTTTATTTTTTATTTTTTTAAATAGGCTCCACGCCCAGAGTGGGGCTCAAACCCACAATCCTAAAATTAAGAGTCATGTGCTCTATCGACGTCTATTTTATTCATCAGGTTCCTGTTTTTCTGGCAGTGATTACTCTTTCTTATTAATTTAACCAACTTCTATTCCAAAGCCATGTTATCTTTCTCAGTTTTCTTCGTCATGCAGGAACAAATTTTTTTGGACTGTGTCCCAGAAACATCTTTACACTTCTATAAATCTACCCTATAGAAACTGCCTGAACTACCTTTGCCAGTAACATGATGTAATTAATGAAAAAAACCACTTGACACTAAGTTAAAAAAAAAAAGAAAGAAAATGGAAAGTTGTATAATACAGTGGTTCAGAGTTTAGACTCTGTAGTAAGAAAGTCCTGATATCAAATTTCAGTATCATCACTACAACTCTGACCTTGGAAAAGTCATTTTACTTTCTTAAACAATATTACACTTATTTGTAATCCTAGAAACTAATCTTAAAGCATTCAGTATAAAAGAGGTGTATCTATACAGTCTTCCACACAGTATCTGCAGAATGGAAGCTCTACGATTTATAAACTGGCCCACATAATTTAAAAACAAAAGCTGAAAGATAAACTTGGAACTTACCAAATTGATTATTTTGTACCTTTGATAACAGAATAGTAGGGGATTAAGTTATATAAAGAATAGTTAAGTACTTTGAATTGTGAATGCTTTGAATAAATTACAGAGTTTCCTGAAAATGAGATGTATTTTGTACAATTCTTCCCTGGGACAAGTATAAGAAGAAAATTTCCCCCAAAAAGTCAAGCCTACCGTGAGCTCATTATATTCTTATATACACCAATAACAGCTAATAAAGAACTTGCTGAAAATTCCTGTCAGAGGCCCTACCACTCTTCTTCCAAAATCAGTAAAAGTTCTTCATAAAGTAAAGCAGCCCAACTACACAAGGGTAATTAATCTATTACAGCACTCCAGACAAAACCAAAAGAGAAGCAGAGAGGAAATTTCAACTGGAAAATATTTTGATATAATTGACCCAGATGACAAACTAAATTTAAGCACATACCAGGTAGTACAGTCTACACAGGAACACATATAAATGCCCAAAGATATTAAGAGTCTACACAAGCCAAGGTGAAGTCTTAACTTAGAGTAGAGTTTACATCTTTAATCACTGTTTAGAAAAGATATTTGGGGAAGCTAACGGGTTCTTTCATAAACTCAGAGAAAGAAATGTTTAAAGTCTTTAAATTCTTTACTTTGGGAATTAATGCTAAATTATTTTTAAAAATGTTAGGGAGTTTCTCCTTCAATGCATGTAAGATACCTGTATTTTCTTTTTTTTTTTTAAATATTTTTTTTTTTATTTATTTCTAGGAGAGAGAGAGAGACAGCGTGAGCAGGGGAGGGTCAGAGAGAGAGAGAGGGAGTCACAGACTGAAACAGGCTCCAGACTCAGAGCAGGCAGTCAGCACAAAGCACGAAGCGGGGCTCGAACCCACGAACAGAGAGATCATGACCTAAGCGAAAGTCGGACGCTTAACCGACTGAGCCACCCAGGCGCCCCATGATACCTGTATTTTCCAATTGGCTACAAAATTTGTCTATCTACATTTTTCTGATCATTTTCAAAATGTGTAAGACTTGTTATTTCAAAAGCTCAAATTTAATTTTAACACTTAAATCCCTTGGAAAAGAAACATATATGTTGCCACCAAAAGCCAACTTTCTTCATAGAAAAGTGAAACTATTAAGAATATAAATTCCCAACTTCTTTGAATTTATTTCTGCATACATACGCTGTATGATATAGCTCCTTTAAACTCTTCTCACAAGCAATAATCAGATCAAAATGAAAAGACCAAAGAAAATATGAAGAAAAACAATTTTTTCATGTGCCCAACTTTTTCTTTTGGAAATTTTTAAACATGTAAGAAAACTAAGAAACAGTAAAATGAGCATTCATTGTTCCTTAAATATATTCTCCACCCAGATTCAAAAACTGAATAATACTGGCAAATTATACTAAACTGTATATTGAATACAAATCCATGGTAGGGGCACCTGGGTGGTTCAGTCAGCTGAGTGTCTGACTCTTGATTCTGGCTCAGGTCCTGATCTCCAACTGGGCATGGAGCCTGCTTAAGATTTTCTCACTCCCTCTCACTCTGACCCTCCCTCACTCATGTACACACTCTTTCTAAAAAAAAGTTAAATAAGAATTAGTAAGTAGGATATATAATAATCTCTAAGCAAGTATGAACCCAGGTGAATAAGAAAACTTCTTAACATCACTTATCTTTTTTGTGTCTGACCTAAAGAAAAAAATGAACATGAGTTTAATGAAAAAACTCAATTAACATATTCCTGGTTATTTTACATGAACAGTGTCCAAGATAAACCTTTCAAAGAATCTTTTTATCATTTTCTCACAGTGATAAAAAGATAAAACTGTCTAAAGGCCTCATTAAATAAGTTCAGATATCCAATAGACAGAAAAAAATCAAAGATTATAAATATACAACTATGGAATAACAAGGTAGGCACAGAAAAATGGAGATGACAGGAAAACAAGTAGGAAATGCCAGAAAAATGGCCGTGTTCATTGCCATGAGATAAGAGGACAGGGACCAAAGAGAAATCAAGACGTCTCTGAAATTTCAAAATCATTCATTATTCCAACATTCAAACCTGCAAACTTTAAAACTGTAGTTGTAATTCAGCATAACTGATCAGAGTGAAAATCTTCCCTCCCCATATCTTCAGTATCCAGTATCTTCCACAAAAAATGACAATCAAAAATGTGCAAATACTAGTGATTATACAGATTCTTAAAAAACAAATAAGCTAAACATATCTAAACATTATTCCAAAAAAATTTTAAGGAAGAAATTGACTCTATTCTGAAATAAATTTTATGTTCTGAAACTGCCAAGGAGTTTAATGTTCTAAGATAGGAAAAATATTTTGTTATGAAAAATATTCCCTGGTACTATCAAAACAAAGCCTTTTATCATGTGCTTCTTATGAAATGAATTTGATATTTAACAGAATGAAGTACATATTTTTGTGATAAAGTCCATTCTACTAAAGGATTTAGGGTTTTATATATGTATATTTCCTAACTGGATATATGATATTACATAAAAGTTAATTTAAAAAATTAATATCTGGCCCTAAAGTAAACGTAAAACTACATGTCAAGTAAAATTATCTATCCCAAGTACAAGGGTAGAGCAATGAACAAATAATGTGTGTGTGTGTCATAAAATAAATGTTGTACAGATATTTCCTGACTGGAAAAGCGTTTTTAAGGAATTTAGTTTTACCATATAAAGTATCTGAATTCTTTGAAAATTCTACATATGCAAATATTAAATTCATAGCCATATTTATAATTAAGTCCTGGTTAAGCAAAAGAAATTAACACAATTTAAAAATGTAGAACTTAAACAAGACTGGTTTCTATTACACATAGATATAAGAGATACTGAGAATACAAAACTAAATAAAGTAGCCTTCTATTGTCCACTATGTTTTGCTGATTACATGTACTAATTTAGTTAGAGCTCATCTCCCTATATTACCATCAACTTAAAAAAAAAATCAACTACTCCTTAAGATGTCTTTTCATATTTTTCTAAGGACAAGAATCAGAGGACTGGTGTTAGTAGGGCTGGAAAAGAAAGTAGCAATTTAAAAATTTAACCCCTTACCTTTATAGCCAGGAAATTCAGACCACTCTCATTTGCTAAAGCCTTTGCAATCATTGTTTTAGAGCATCCAGGTGGCCCATACAGAAGAACTCCTTTAGGTGGCTGAATACCCATTCGAATGAAAGACTCTGGATGTTTCAAAGGCCATTCTACAGCCTGTTTCAATTTCAGTTTGATATTTTCCAGTCCTCCTATATCTGACCAGGATACCTGCAAAACAGAGCATTTTCTAAATGTAAGTTTTGTGAATACAGAGGACAAAACAATATATATATCAATATAGATAGATAGATAGATCAATAAAAAGTACAAGGTGGGAACAGATCCACTTAATCTAGAAAGAAGATCCTTTAAAAATTCTATCAAGAAGTAAATTAGAGTATATAAAATGTGAGCTGTATGTTACAAAAATACTAAAGAAAAATGTTTCTGCTTGTATAAATAATTGTTTAAATGACTAACATACTGTTAAGTCTATCTTCTATATAGATGGCTTGAGAAATTAAGTTTAGGGCACCTGGGTGGCTCAGTTGGTTAAGTATCTGACTCTTGGTTTCAGCTCAGATCATGATCTCCCAGTTTGTGAGTCTGAGCCCTACACCAGGCTTGCTGCTGTCAGCACAGAGCCCACTTTGGATCCTCTCTCCCCCTCTACCTTTGCTCCTCCCCTGCTTACTCTGGTTCTCTCTGAATAAATAAATAAACTAAAACAAACAAAAACAAACCAAAGACTTTGCTAGTTTCTGCAACCTATTTAAAATTTTTTAAAAATTTAGGTTTCATCTGTCTAAAAATGGTATGAATTAGTGATCCAAGGTCTCATCTGTGTATCCTTTTAGCAAATTTATTTATGTATTACCTCCAAAAATATTTCTGTAAGTCCTTATGGAACATATGGTTTTTTCTGTCTTTGATTTATTAATGAAGCATCCTCAAAGTTTTGTTCCTTTTTCTCAACAAAGGAACACCCTCACCAAAATAAGACAATTCTTTACATATTATTTACTTTAAAAATATCCATTAAGAACCACAAATCAGATAATATACATAGAAAACAGAAGAATAAGACATGAATACAAACTTTAAAGAACTTAAAAACTACTAGTAACGTGTACATAAATAATCATAGTACAATGGAAAGGATGCTAAGCACAATTAACAAAGCTTTTGGGAGTTCCCAGGAAGAAAAGATTACTTCCAGCTGGAAGGCAAATCTGAAAGCCAACTTCTAAAGCTCGGATGAAATCTGGAAATGTAAAAACAGCGAAATGGTCAGGTAGAGGCCAAAAATTACGAAAGGCTCAGATGAAAGTATGAACGAATAGGAGAAAAACGATTTGAGGGGGCAAAATAAAAAACGGAAAGTAAGCTGAAACCAAATAGTGAGGGACCCAGAAGACTAGATGATGGAGTTCAAGAATCTCTTTCTTCATAAGAAGTCTTTGAAGATTTTAATCTGGAAAGTGATACGGTCTAATCTGTGCTTCAGGAAGACTCCTCTGACAACATTCATGCAGAGAGGTGAGAGAATGAAGGGAGAACAATTAAAGACCTATCATAAATATTCTTAACAAAGAAAACAATTTTAAACTAGGATATCCACATGCAGAGGATAAAGACATACCAGAGTGATACTGAAGGTCCACAGCCAATGATATTGAGGGTAGAGTAAGAAAAAGGGATCATTTAAACCTAAACATTTCAAGATGAGTTAACAGAATACAAATGAAAAAGAATTTTTTAGGAGGGAAAATATATTTTTTTATTTCTAGATATTATAAAGAATTGAAACAAAGGACAGGCTATTCAAGAAACAAAAAGGGAGTAGATGGAATGTAAGCATATCAAATGGAGCTCTGGAAAGAGGTTAGGACTGGAATTTTAGATTTCAGAGAAATCTGCATACAAACAACAGAAACCATCAGATCAATTAAAATTGCCAACCATGAGGAGATGTGCATGAGAGGCAGATTGCTTGGCATCACCTACACTTATGAGGCAAGAGGAAAAGAAACAAGAAAAAGTCAGAAAATGAATCCAAAAAAGAGAAAGGTTTTGTTTGTTAATATCAGGAAAAGGTTACTTTTTCTTTATGAACTTGCATGGATTTGGGAGGAAGGGGACTTTGGTTTTGTTTTTTATTTTTGTCCACAGAACTAGGAGAATGCTATATTATGAACCATAATTCTCATATCAGATTTAAGTATTCTTTTCTAAATTTATTTCTTGGGATTAATTTTAAAAAGTAAGATTACTGGATTAAAAGGCATGAACACTTTTAGGTCTCTTGATCCGTATGTCAGTTTGCTATCTCTACCACGTTATCCATTTTAGTGGCATGAGTGATACACGCAATAGTTTCCCTGAAGTATCAGCAGCCTTTGGTTTTATTTTGCTTTTTTTCTTTCTGATTTCACCAATTAATAAAATTAAAATTAAACTTGAGATCAATGCACCTAAATTTATGGCCCTAAAAACATCCAGCTATCATCAATGATCAAAGTGACTGTTTACAGCAGAAAGTAATTGTTATTGTTAAAACCAGGCCAGCCTAGGAATAAGTGCACCAGAGTTATCACACCCTGAGGTGTAGAATTAAACATTATGGGAAGAGAGGTTTAAGGAAGGTAGTCAACAACCATCAAAAACTAAATAGATCAGAAAGTAGATAGTATTAAAGAAGCAGTGGTCAGTAGATTTAGCAACAAGGTTACTAAATTGAGTGGTTTAATTAGATCAGTTTTTGTTTTTATGCCTTTTAGTGTGGAATATACATAACACATACACAACACAAACACACATATGCATGCACATATTGATAGTATACATGTATGTTATATATAATGCATAAAAGCTATATTTGTAATAACTGACAGAAATGTAAAAGAGAAGCAACTCCTTAATCTAGTAAAAATTAAAATGACAGTGTATTATTGTTATGATCCTATGTGATGCCCATTCAATTGTTACTATGTATTTATTAGAACTATACAATGAGAAGAGCTCACTGTGAATGTGTTCCACGAGAAGCAGATGTTTCCACGTCTTGGGGCATGTTTGAGTTTTACTTAGAGTAATGTAGCATTACAACAGAATAGTGACTTAAGCTAATTTCAACAAGTACAGATACACAGATAAAATTTTCTTAAAGGTTAATGCAGAACTTCATCTTTCCTAATCAATGACATTAGAAAAAAAAATCCATCATATGCCTGTAAATGCCTAGGGAAGACATTTTTCACAGATTTGTATGAAACTAAATAACCTGGCAATACGACCTCATAACCTTCAGTATGATAAAATTTGGTTTTCAATACATTTGTGTTTGTTTGGTTTTTAAAGAGTCTTGAAAAGAGTTTTTTAAAAGAACTTAATATCAGATACTAAGTACTTCCATGAACCACACATGGAGATTACCAATACAAACACAAAGAAATCCATGTGGTAAAAGATAATCTCTTTATTTAAGGACCAGGGATACTAGCAAACAGTGCCAGCTGGACCAGGAGTTGGAGGTTTGTCCCTCAAGAGAAATTAAGGTGCTTTTACCAGAAAATTGAGTGTTCCCTGGCATGGAAGAGGCCAAAACACTGATGCCACTGCATGGACCTAGTAGACCATACTGAGGAGTTGGTCCATTGCCCTGGGGCTGTAAAAAGCAGAAGAAAACTGAAACAATCCTGTCCTTACCTCCCTTCAGAGATAGAGCACTTGCATCATCAGCTCTCCTTTCTCTACTCCTGCCTTGATTGTATTCTTCACTATATTCTTTCCTCAGCCTACAAATATTCCGTTTCTTCCTATCCTTCAAAACAATTTGAATAGTTTCTAACTAATGTTCTATCACCTTTTTCACCACTAAACTTTCTGACAGATAATACTTCTCTACCCCTACTACATTTATATTTCCCACTTTATATTTTAGGTAAGTATATTATCTTGCCAAGCAGTGGTAGGAAAGGAGGGTAAAAGGATAAAGATAAAACTTTAAGACTGGTGGGAAAACAGGAAGTTGAGAGAGTTACATCAGAAGGTCTGTAGACTCTCAGGAAAACATGAGGCAAGGTCATCTACAGAAATATCAATTAATTTAACAAATACTGACTAAATGCCTATTTCACAATATGTTGGTTGCTGGGGACAAAACAGTTCCTGTCCATATAGAACTTCTGACCTGATGGAAAACTTTCTTCAAAGGGCCTATTTCCATAATTAGGCAGTTACTATATAGCATGGTATATGCTATCGTCACAAACTTTAAATGCATGCTCAAAAAAAAAACACAAAAAACAAAAAAACAACTTTTAGAAGTGATATGTGAGGTGGGATCTGATGAACACACAGGAGCTAGGCAGCTGAACCAACTGAAAATAACAGTAGGTGCCATAAGAGGAGAGAGGCCGAAAAAAGTATCACACATTATAGGAACTAAAAGTAATTCAGTATGGCCAGAATTCAGAGAGCCAGAAAAGGAGTAGAAACTAAGGTCAGCAACACAGGAAGCTATCAGACCTTGAAGACTTATAAAGGCATCAAGAAGTTTAGACCTTATTCTGAGAGATATGAAGAACAAGTTAATCAGGAAAATGACATGATCAGATTTCTGGAGGACAACTGTGGTTACAAGGTAGAGGGGGGATTAGAACTTGGAGGGGTTGGGTGGAGGAGGGGCTTCTATAGTAATTCAGATAAGAGATGGTGATTATACTAAGGTAGTAGCAGTGGGTCTAAACAGAGGGGGAAAAAAGATTAAATCTTTATTAAACCATAGTAAATTATATTGAATAAAGCAAACAAGGCATCTTGAAAACTAATCACATTTGGAGAGGGGTGGTAAAAAAGAAAATGGAATCAAGGGTAACATCCATGATTGAAACTTGAACAACTAAATAACTGAAAGTTATATTCAAAGAGAAAAAGGAACATGTTTGGAAACTAAGGAATTAGTTTCCAATTATTATACTGTGGCTGAAATATATGAGCGAAATAAATTCAATAAACTAAGAAATGTCCTCTATGTGCTGAACTTGTTTTAGGAACTGTAAGGACACAAAGATGAGTGAGAAAAATGTCCTCAAAATTTTGTACTCTAGAAAGAGAAATAAGTATCCTAAGAGATACAGTCTTTGTCTAAATACATAAAATAGCTGAGGGGTGCCTGTGTGGCTCAGTCAGTTAAGTATCTGACTCCTGATTTCGGTTAGGTCAAG